ACTGTTGACTATATTGACTATATATGCTTGTGCAGAGACTATATAGCATATAGTGGCTATATTGTAGCCACTACAGCTATAATCACTATATATCATGACACACAATGCTATCATGACTATATTGACTATTGAGATTACAAAGTCACCACTACAGCTATTTCAGATTTGGGATTTTCCTGATGTCCCAATCCAGCTGTTCCTTTGTCCTTCTTACGACATAGCTGATCTCCTCAACGGCCTTGCTGAGGCTAGGAGGCATCTGTTGTTCGAATTCCAGGCACTGATTGGAGTATTGGTCTGGGAGCTTGGGACTCGTCCATCTGATCCTGGTTGTGAGCGCCTTCCTGTAGTCCAGGTGGAATCCTCTAAGTCCAGCGTCCACCACCACTTGCTGACCGCTACCAGCTGCTGCTCCAGAGTGTGTACAATGGAGACGAGGGGTCTGTTGTTGCACGGCAGTCGAGGGTCTGGTTGTGGAGGAAGGGGAGGGAACTGAAGGTTGCTGGGGAATATATGAATCGACCTGGTACATTGGACTGAGTGAGCGACTGCTGAGTTGGGGTGTGGCTGTAAGATCTATTGGTCATGTCCAGATGAAGAGCGGAAGGTGAGTTGAGCTCGGTCGTGTCTATGTTGTACGCAGACGTTATGTAAGGCTGAATGTAATCCAGGCCTTACAGTGACTCGATGGTCCTCGGCTGGGGCACGACCGGCAAGAACAGCGTCGGGGTCGGGGCCGAGCATGAACCCATCGCATAGTTGGAGCAAGACGTCGCCTAGGCATTCACCTGGATATCGGTCAGATGAATCCTTTCCCTAGAAAGCGAACCCACCTAGCGACCCACTACTGATGCTAAGTTCATCGACCTCACGAACAAAGGTGGTCGATACCTCATGAAGACAGAACAGCAGAGCATCGTGGTGTGACCTCATTCCATAGGGCTCAGATAGGAGCATAAGGTCATGGTACACACTCTGGATCAATGGCTGGAAACGCTTAGCAGGAGGTGGCGGATGCTGAACTCGAAGAGGACCTCACCTGGACTGCTGGAAGGCGGTCACGACCAGGATCAGATGGAAGAGTCCCAAGCTCCCAGATGAATACCCCAATCAGCGCCTGGAATTCGAACAACAGGTGCCTTCTAGCCTCACTAAGGCCATCGAGGAGATCAGCCATGTCGTAAGAAGGACAAAGGAACAGCTGGATTGGGAAGGTCAGGTGGCAGCGACTGGGAAGCGCAGTCGCTGGCAATCAGAGGCAGACACTGGCGGGTGCTTTGGGGTCAATGGAACTGTATAGGTGATCGGACGTGACAGGCGCCGGGAGGAGGTGCAGGACGACAGGACAGAGTAGTTGAGTTTCTGAGGAGGCCTCAGTTTCGATTTTCAGTTTCTCAGCAACCGCGACATCGAGGTCGCGTCCACTAGTTCAGAACAGCAAACAGTATCAGTACAGAGTTTTCCCTTCCTCATCAGTTTTGTCATTTCCTACTCTCTATATCGAACCAGAATACATCCCACATCTCACAGTAAAAGCTCCAGAGCCCTGTTGAGTCCAGTTATGTCCTCTTCTCTTACAGCTAACAGTCAGTTGCGACCCAACTGCGGTCGCTGGCAGTATCAGATCCATCAGCGAACTCGTGAGTCTCTGAAAACGTCTTGCCACAAAAGGCAATGGCTTGTATGCATTGCCATGCCTCGCAATGACTTTCACTTAGATGCCATGTCTGACCATTCCCGATATCGCTTTGTACACGCTTTCCGGCTCTAACGTATCGTTTTATACTCTTGTCATGCATTTCATTCGCTCAAAAAGCCCTGTCATACCCTCCTGTTACGACCCCTCGAGACCGGAATGGACCGGAGCTTAGCGCTTGGGAGCCAGCAAACTTCGTCACCTCGAGTTCAAAGGTTCATTCCTTCGTTCCTCCTTCCTCCTTCCTCCTCCCTCCTTCCTCCTTCCTTCGCCCCATCCCACTAGTGATGCTTCCCTCCAAAGGATTGAGGTACCTGTGACACATTCAAAGTGCGCTGCGTGATGCGATGTTATGATCCAGACTCAGCATGCATTCGCATGGGTGACTGGCGAGGTTCGTTTTCGCACTTCGTGAGTTTTTTTTTTTTTTCACTTCACAATTCTTATGTGTACTAATGTTGAATCAAATCATAGGATGTATGCAGATCATGTTGGCGACCACTGGCATGGAAGGGCAGGTCAGCAGGTATGTACAGTTCAGCGTCTCATCTGAAGTAGGTCGCAAAGTTCTCAACACCCCTGGACAGCTTGCACTGCAGTTTGTAACATCTCAATGCAAGTCTGGTATGTTTCATTCATTCATTGTCAGTCTTGTTTCATGTTGCTGATGTGCTATAGTCCTTTCAGGTAGGACCTACCGTCTGTCCTCTGGTTCTTGTCCCACAAATTGGCGTCCCACAGGTTGGCCCACAGCCGCATTTCTGCCCCTTCCATCTTCCTAGTCCCATCACCATATTGTATCGGCTCAGGGCCCGATGACATGTATAATATTAGTATGTAGTGTAGCATAACATGTGAAGTAGCCGGCGCAAAATAAATTTTCTATATTTAAATATTTGAACAATATGAATATATATATAGGAAGGAACAAAAGGAATCACTTGTAATACATCCCAAAGCACGAAAGATATAAGAAAGGATGCTATGCACGGGCAAAAACTGCAATGCATAGGAAGACATGAGAATGCTCGCGATGCTTGCGATGCATGGAATGCATTGCGGCCACATAGAAGGCTACCGAAAAACGCGAGGACCATCACGGACGTTTTCATTGATTTGCCAGGTTTGCCAGGTTTGCCTCGATCGTCATGTCTGGCAAGACATTTTCAGACCTTCACGAGTTTGCTGATGTCAGGGTCACATCCACTATCACTTGAGTCTCAAGTGTTGTCCCCTATCCCTCTCCCCATCATCTCTGCCTCGTCCTCTGTCTTAGCTGTTTATGAGATGTATCAGCAGAGATGGCATATATGGCCTATTGCTTCAGAGAAACTATATGGCCTGGTGGTCTAGTGGTTAGAGCTCTGCTTGATAGTGTAGTCTGAAGACACTGGGTTCAATTCCTAATGGTGCCAGCTAAATTTTATTTTATTTTATGATTGTTTTTATGTACTAAAATGAATTGTAATGATGCTTATCATTGATTTGGATACTGGTTAATTATATTGAGTGAACTGTCATCCGACTGTTCAAGAGGAGGGAGTCTAGTCCTGATGACTTATGCATTTTTTTGACAGCTCTCTATTACACAGAGACTAGATCTCCTTTATGAGCATTAGCACTAGGTTATACATATAGTGATATCAATTAGATATTTTTAGCATCATTGGATGTCATTTAGTGTCAACATCCATATGTATAAAGTACATCAAAAATATTCAAATCATATTAGAGTTAGATTGGAGTTAGATTGGCATTGCATTTCTATCGAGCTAGACTTGAACTCAAAATTATCAAAAGTTAGCCTAATCGGAGCTGACCTAGTCAGACCTCATCTGATACATCAAAGTTCATAAACATCAGAATATTGTTATCTGAAAATTAGATAGCTATTTGATCAATAGTCATTTTTAACTTATATTTGCTTTCAGTTGCATCAGATTAGCTAAATTGGGAAAAAGAGGTTTTTCCTGATGTGATCAAAAAACTACAGTATATGGCAATATCATTGATAGGCAAAAGTTTATCTCACTAGACCTGTCTAACGAGAGAATGTCTCACTCATGAGACTTATCTCTCACACAAGACACAATCTCATACAGTGTGTGCCGTTAGCCCTGTCAGCTTTTCCGAGTTTCCTGATGTGGAATCTCTCCAGGATCACCTTCTTCCACTGAACAAAAGATTTTACCATAAAAATGCTCCCAGTGAGGATCAAACTCACGACCTCAGGATTACCCAATCAAGTGATCAGGGCATACATAACCTGTATGAGACCTGCGCTCTAACCAACTGAGCCATGGAAGCTTACATCTGATTCCAATGATGTTTATAGGATGAAGTCAGACAATCAGCAGAAAGGACAAGTGGATCTGGTAATGTATGATTGAGGCAATTCTTGTCTTGTCTTAGTACAAGCAACATTACTTTGTGCAAGAGAGTGCAATATACCCCCTTGTGGTATGCTCTACACTTTCCCTCTATGCAGATTATGTTCATGTTGCACTTGTCCCCTAAAAGGAATGAAAAGGGGGCCTTGCTAGTGCCACTCTCCTGCTGTGGCCACCCTCAGGCTGAACGGGAGGTCAATCAGTCTCCTTTATTTGATTCACCATCACAGCAAGTTGTGCACAGAGGAATGCTACAGCATGTATCATGACCAAATCCCAGATTCACTTTGTCGCAAGTAAATCATCGACAAACGAATGAAAGCCCAAACCAGTCCAATCGCACAATACACACTGGTCAACATCAGTGGCAGAAACTCCATCCCACTCGCAGCTTGCTCAGAAATGCTGCTGCCAGCCTTACAAAAATTGCCTGCACATGAGGTGACATTCCGCGTTGAGGAGCCAGATGAAGAGCATGAAGCCGTGAAGAGCGGAAAGAGCGATACGAAAACCTGCAAGAGTGCGAAGCCGCCCATGTATGCTTTTTCGGTGACATCGAGTATGACGAACGGGAGCGACTTGGGGAACCTGGAACCATCGTCAGTCAGATTGGGAGCTCAGATGGTCAAATGAGGGTGCTCACTCGTATACTCTACGATTTATGGGCTCGAAGACCAGGATACCCCAGATGATGGAATACACTACTTTCACGAGGGTTTCTGTAAGAGTACCCATAGCATTCAATTGGTAAGTGAATCTACGAGAATCGGGCTCACCAGCGGGCGTGAATAGCAAAGGAAACAAAGAGAAAATCCCTGCTACAGAAGCAATCATAAATGTCCTGAAGTACGCGTGGTTCTCGGCTGCCAGCAAACTAGACGTTGCATTAGATGCATCCGATTGCATACGCGAAATTGAGGCGTACCTCAGAGGGACGAGCACAAGGAGGATAGCCTTTTCGTGGACGTGCCAACCAAACATGAACGAAGTATAGCCGCATAGTGTCAGTGCGGTCAAAAATGACTTGTAGCTCGGGATACGCCAGAGTTTGATGAGAAAGATCTGTACTCAGGGTGCCTGAGTGGAACAGCACGAGGAAACAATAGGATTGACTTACCGCTTGGAAGAGTATTGTAATGATGAAGGTGTGCATAGGTTTAATGTTTGGTATCACTGCAAAGACAGTGTCGCCTACGAGTCCGCGTGAAGTCGACGCAACGCCTGAAGTGTTGATGTTGAGGCTGTCGATACCAAAACGTTGTATGACTGACAGCGAGAGATTAGCTTTGAGACTAAGGTTGTAAGCAATATGTGATGAGAGTGCTTACCTTTCAGTAAGACACGGTCAGCCGCAGTGACCAACGCCCAAACATTTGGTGCCCAGTACGCATGGTTCAGCCCGCGAGTGAATGGGAACAGTCTACTGAGAAGTTGTGGAAGTTGGCCCATGAGGATGAACGGTCCAAGTGAGGCCAAGAATACCAGTATAACTGCATTCGCCAGTGAGAGAAAGTTAGACGGTAGTAGTGCGCCAGTTGGTGAGAGACAGAAGGAACGTAAGAGGTAGATGAAATATGCAGGCTGTGGCAAAGTAAGTCTCAACTCAGACGAGGTAAGGGGACTGCTTACTGCGAGGTACATGTAGATATGCTTGAAATTCAGCAAGACTGCAAACAGTAGCCCGCTCATGAGTTTGCTCCCCTAAGAAAAGTGGTTAACGTCAACAAGTCCGCAAACCAAGAGTACACTCACGTTGCGAGCCATTAGTATCGACCACAGAAGGATTCCAAACATGAAACCATTATACTGGAAGTGTATATGGTCTACGACGAGGAATCCAGGATGAAGGAATAGGGATATCGACAGGATCCTTTGTGTGCTAGGATCTACAGCACCGCGAATAAACCTTTTATCCTTGTTCAGTACTATTTGAATCCAGTATACCTTCTTAACTGACCTATGCAGTGCGGCTGCAAGTACGAGCTCCGTCACAATGACGGTCGAGCGTTGGTATACGATCACAGACCATGCAGAGTAGTTCAGGTTTTGCAAGTCTACTATCTTAGGGTCTATGAGTGCTGCTGGTATCGATAGCAGCTTCTCAAAGTAGGCGAAGAACGGTGGGTAATCGAGTGCTACGCATGGCTCTGTCAGATAGGCATGCGGAGATACAGAGGGAGGAACTAACTCCATTCAGAAGTAGTCTAATATCCTCGTCAGTACATTCATACTCACGACCTGGTCTCACAACTCACATCATAGTACCACTTGGATATAGGGAGTGAGTGGGTGATAGCCAGCCAGTTCCGATGCACTTCGAAATCTGTCGACCGGCTGATTGCTTGACCCGTACATATTTCACTCTTTAGTTATCAAACGAACATTCACATACTATGCGGGGAACAGCAGTAACTTCAAACAAGTTGAAGCTATCAGGACATCCCAGTCCACCGAAGAAAGTCCTAGTTCTGGAAGGTATTTCCGCAATGCAGACGCAGCCGATGAAGACGGTATTTCGGGTATAGGTTCAACTATCGTCGTGGGCGCAGTCTTCTCCGGGAAAGGTTCCTGCAGGACATGAGAGTCGGTGAGGGAGCTGGTGCTTGTACGTCTCCTCCTGGACGAGATTGACGCGCCTGGTATTTGAGAATCGGTCGCCATGATCGTTGAAGCAGCAGACAGTGTAAAAAGAGGGACCGGGATAGCAAAAAATGTGGCAAGAAGCGAAGAGCAATGCCAATAATGCGACGCACTGGTGGCAGAGAGGAGGATCGACGCGTTAAGCAAGTACTCACTTGCGTTATGGGCGTCTGTTCACTTCGTTCCTTCAACGCGACCTCACCGAGCTCAGCATGAGCGAACATGTTGTTGTAGCGAAAACGACTGAACAAGCCGCCGAGCAGGGGTAAGAGCATGCGACAACCGGTGTTAGGCAGACTGACAAATGTTACAATAGGGGCGTGCTCGTGAAACTGCTCATCTTTGCCATATCCCTTGCCGTGGTCCCTATTTCCTCCTATTTCTTGTCCGAGAAATACCTCTGGGATGGTACGCACCCAGGATATTGCCAAATGCCTATACTCAACGTATTTGATAGGGAACAATGTATACGCTGCAATCACAGCAATTGTAGCTGCCAATGCTGTGTTGGTGGCATATATCATCGCCTCAGTTCTCGAAGAGAATGCGGCTGCCCCGAAGCCTGCAGCTGAAACGAAAAAGACTCAGTGATGACAATCTTCATATACGCTTGTGCTCCCATTTGTCACCCCGCCTTTCGGATTTCACAACAATTTCGGTGTAAATGCAGATTTCTGATACCCTTGGATACCCTCACAAAGACTCTGCCGCCTAATCTTCGAGAGACAGTCGGTATAACAATTGTGGTAAAATCCTTTCATTGTCTACATTGTATTATGTTCATTACAGGTAATGTTACAGCGTTCGTCCATTAATAATGATAGCGGCGAGTCTAGCGAAACAGCGACGAAAAATGCAAAGGTGACATAGTGATGGAGATAATGACAAACATAAGTAGAGCGGATTGTCTCAAAACAAGAAGACAAGTCTCAAAAGTCCTCATCGAGAGAGCTGCAAAAGCGGAGTCAACTACATGACGACTAGCGGCGGAAACGTTACTCACAAAGTCTTTGATGTAGTGACCTTCGAGTCAGTCGACTGCGCAGAGGTGTTAACACCGGCCTTCGAGTAATCCGAGACTCGCTTCTCAAAGAAGTTGGTCTTGCCCTGGAGCGAGATCATGTCCATAAAGTCGAAGGGATTGGTGACGTTGTATACCTTGGGGTTACCCAAGGCAGCCAATAGACGGTCGGCGACAAACTCTATGTACTGGCACATGAGCTTTGAGTTCATGCCAATGAGAGCGACAGGAAGAGCATCTGCCAACAGGGATAAGTTGCACATTGCGAACGTTGAAATTAAGACACATACCGGTCAGGAACTCCTGCTCAATAGCCACGGCCTCAGTGATGATCCTCTTGACAGTGTCAGGATGAGGTCGCCTCCTAAGGTGACTGAAGAGCAAGCAAGCGAAGTCGGTATGCATGCCCTCGTCACGGCTGATCAACTCATTGGAGAAGGTCAAGCCGGGCATCAAACCACGCTTCTTCAGCCAGAAGATGGACGCAAAAGAGCCAGAGAAGAAGATACCCTCTACGGCGGCGAAGGCAACGAGACGCTCGGAGAACGCAGAGTTCTTGTCCGAGATCCAGCGCAAGGCCCAGTCAGCCTTCTTCTTGATGCAAGGGATAGTCTCAATAGCGTCGAAGAGGTGTTCGCGTTGCATGGGGTCCTTGATGTAGGTGTCGATGAGAAGGGAGTACGTTTCAGAATGTATGTTCTCCATCATAATCTGGAAACCATAGAAGCAGCGCGCTTCAGCTGCTTGGACCTCATTGGAGAAACGCTCGACGAGGTTCTCGTTGACGATACCATCCGAAGCAGCGAAGAAGGCAAGAACGTGTGAGATGAAATGACGTTCGTTATCGTTCAGCCTGTTCTCCCAATCATGAAGGTCTTTGGACAAGTCCATCTCCTCGGCCGTCCAGAAGGATGCTTCAGCCTTCTTGTACATTTGCCAGATCTGTCGACATGTTAGCTGGGTCCATCTCTGCTATGAAGAAAAATGGAACATACCTCATGGTATTGAATGGGGAAAAGCACAAAACGACGCTTGGTTTCAGTCAGGAGAGGTTCCGCGTCTGTAAGGAGAATAAGCAAAGGTAACAATATTTCAGGAAGCGCACTCACGTTCAGGGAGATGGATGTCGCCTACCCAACGCTTGCGAAGTTCTTCCTCAGAGGGTGCAGCGAATGGGTCTTCATCGTCGGAGACGGGTGAAGTTGAACGTTGCTTGTCGTCGATGACCTTGAGGGCCTCAAGCTTGGTACGCTTGC